AATGTTCCCCGTCAAACATTTTTGACAATTTGCAATTTACTCCCAGGGCGACTCAGCAAAGAGGACATTGAACGCATGGTCCAGGAAGCTGAGAAGTACAAGGCAGAGGATGACTCCCAGCGTGACAAGGTCTCTTCCAAGAATGGCCTTGAGTCATATGCTTTCAACATGAAATCAACCGTGGAGGATGAAAAACTTGCTGGTAAGATCAGTGAGGACGACAAGCAGAAGATTCTGGACAAGTGCAATGAGGTCATCAGCTGGCTAGACAAGAATCAGGTATTTATTCTATCTTTTGGAGTCTTTTAGCCACAATATGAATTGGTATTAAAACGCTAACATTTGTTTTTTTGTTGCAGACTGCCGAGAAGGAGGAGTATGAACATCAACAGAAGGAACTGGAGAAGGTGTGCAACCCCATCATCACCAAGCTGTACCAGGGTGCTGGTGGAATGCCCGGTGGAATGCCAGAGGGTATGCCTGGTGGTTTCCCTGGAGCTGGTGGTGCTGCACCCGGCAGCGGTGGGTCCTCCGGCCCCACCATCGAGGAGGTCGACTAAACACTCCTCGCTTCCGCTCCAACTTCTCTCCTGAGATGTTTTCTAAGAAAGTAACCCTCTTATAGCAAAAGTTACAACAAGCTAAAGAGTGCAATTGAACAAAAAACTGGGTTCAGGGATCACACTTATTAGATGGTTTGCGACACAACTGGGAACAACTTGTAGTTTGAACAAGCAGTCAGATCACATGTCTGGTAAAGTGTTTTGTATACAAGGATGTCACTGCCTTGATAATAAAAACAAATCTTAACCCTTTGCCTGATCTCTTCTTGGCTTTATGTTAATGTAGTTTAATTTAGCCAATGGCTGCACTATTATTGCGTAGTGAAAAGTTTAACTAGACTTTTGTCTTCTCACTACTTTTTGCACTAAAGCAAAAGAACAGTTTTATTTCCAGCGATAGGAGAGTTAAGGGGGGGGATCATTTGATATGTTGGTACCTTGGACTGAGCTGTTTGTAAAGGGTAACTGAAGTCACACCATGTCCACTTGGTTATAGTGCCATCTGCTGGTTTATGCTGTCTTCCATCACAGCTGCATTTCAGGGACATGCCGTTACCGTCCTAGTGATCAACAAAGTGTTGACATGAAGCTTCAAATCATGGCCACAAAGTGTAAGACTAAGCTCTCCCACTGTGTCACAGCCATCTTGTGTTTTCATGGAGCTGTGTCCTATGATGGCATTTAGCCAGTGTGAATGCTCAAATATAAATCTCACTCGTGCGTCACTGACTTAATGGTGTTCAAAAACTCACTACTTTTTTTTCCTCACCAGGCTTTTTCATGCTATTGTCCACAGCTCTAAAGAGTAACCTACACTGAGTTCTATATTAACACTAAAGGCACATTCTCATTACACAGGACAAAACAATACCTCATATTCATCTGCTGTGCCTATGAAAGTTCCATCAAGTTATAAAATGACCTGATTTATCAGAATTAATGGCGCAATTTGTTTCAGAGACTGTTAAATGTATAGGTTTTTTGTATTGGGGCAGTTTTCAGCAACAGATTAATAGAAACTTTCCTGACAAATTAATTCTCCACAAGGATTAAAAGTTAAAGGATACATCAACGTTTTACAACTGTCAAGTCGTCCTGAACTTCTATTCGGTGGCTATTTCCTGGTTCAAAATTGCGTCAAATATAATTTACATTTAATCTAATCGCCGAAATAATCTGCGGTCGCGAGCTGTTATGTGCCATCATGACGCGCATGGTGTTATGTTTTAATATATGAAGCGCGAGCTGTGTGCTCGAGTCTTCCTGCCTGTCGGCTGAACTCTGCTGCTCCGCGATGAGGGTCTAAATACAGCAGCTACATTACCTATGTTCGTTAACTGTGCGGTCCGGAGTCACTGTGGCACAGACTGGACCGCTGGTAAACAGCTGTTAGAATGGGCCGTTCAGGTGTTCAGAGCAGAGCGTGATGTGAACTGAAACGTTTTTCTGTCGCAATATTATCGTATAATAATAATATAATATATATAATAATAGAAATCGTTGAGCTAACTAGCATACATTGTCACTATCTGCTAACGTTAGCTTTAGCCTTCGTTTTCTAATAGTTTTTTTTTCATAGGCTATAAACAGAGGTGGTATAAGTATAGATCTTGTACTAGAGAACAAGTAGAAGTACTCAGATCTTGTACTTTATTAAAAGTAGAACTACTCAGATATTGTCAGCCTACTAGAGAAAAAGTAGAAGTACTCAGATATTGTACTGGAGTAAAAGTAGAAGTACACAGATATTGTACTTTAGTAAAAGTAGAAGTACTCAGAGATTGTACTTGAGTAAAAGTAGAAGTACTCAGATCTTGTACTTGAGTAATAGTAGAAGTACTCAGATCTTGTACTTTATTAAAAGTAGAACTACTCAGATATTGTCAGCCTACTAGAGAAAAAGTAGAAGTACTCAGATATTGTACTGGAGTAAAAGTAGAAGTACACAGATATTGTACTTTAGTAAAAGTAGAAGTACTCAGAGATTGTACTTGAGTAAAAGTAGAAGTACTCAGATCTTGTACTTGAGTAATAGTAGAAGTACTCAGATCTTGTACTTGAGTAATAGTAGAAGTACTCAGATCTTGTACTTGAGTTCCAGAGTGTAGGAATACTCTGTTACAGTAAAAGTACTGCATTCAAAATGTTCCTCAAGTAAAAGTAGAAAAGTATTATCATCAAAATATAGTAAAAGTAGTCATTGTGCAGATTGGTCCATTTCAGAATAATATATATGATATGTTTTACATTACATTACATTACATTTAGCTGACGCTTTTATCCAAAGCGACTTACAATAAGTGCGTTCGACCAACAAGATACAAACTTGAAGAAAACAGAATCATAAAGTACATCAGGTTTCATAGAGCAAGAACATTTCAAGTGCTACTCAACTGGCTTTAGATAAGCCAGTCCTTTATTAGTATATAAGTGCTTTGTTAATAGTTCTAACGCTCGAAGTGGAGTCGAAAGAGATGAGTTTTCAGTCTCTGCCGGAAGGTGTGTAAGCTATCTGCTGTCCTGATGTCAACGGGGAGCTCATTCCACCATCTTGGAGCCAGGACAGCAAACCCACGTGTTTCTGCTGATGGGAACTTGGGTCCCCCTCGCAGCGAGGGTGCAGCGAGTCGTTTGGCTGATGCAGAGCGTAGTGCACGCGCTGGGGTGTACGGTTTTATAATGATTGATCATGAAAGTGTTCTCAAAGCTGGTAAAGGTGCAGCTAGTTTGAATGGCTTTGTATACTGCAGGGTAGCTGGTGGATTTACTCCAGGTGGAACTAAAGTCTGATTTAACACTTGATTATATTTCACATCATTCATCCACATCTGTAAAGTAACTAAAGGTATTAAATACATGCAGTGGCGTAAAGGTACACCATGTACCTCTGAACTGTAGAGGAGAAGAAGAACAAAGTAGCAAAACATTGAAATACTTAAATAAAGTACAAGTATCTCAAAATTGTACCCCCGTATAGTACTTGTTGAGTTGATGAACTTAGTTACTTAACACCAGTGGCTATACAGATAGAAAGACTAAGCCTTGCACAGAGGCATGAAAATAGATTTTCAAAATGCTCAACAGTGCTGCCAAAATGATAAACTGACTGCACAATTAAAATAAATGCTTTTATATATTTCTATTAGATGTGACTCTTTAGCGTTTCTGTTATTATTACCTGCTGCTTTAGTTGTTCTGACTGCTAACATCCTCTATTCCTCATTTTAAAGCCGATATTCCGTGGGGTCGGGGGGCTCGGGTCCTTGTCACTTTTTTCATACCTGATGACTTTGCCTCCCTGACTACAGTTGCTTTAGCGTGTAGAAGCTAGTAAGCCTACTATTTGATTTGTTTTAGATAGGCACTACATGTTTCATATCCTTGCTGACCTTATTTTCCTGTTCCATGTTAAAATAAACCCTTTTCAGTGCTACCGCTGAGAAAGAGTAATATTTTTCGGTCATGGAAAATTAGGTAAAGATCATGGAGAAGTCATTGAAAAGTCATTGGAAATCATTGGTGAAAAAGTGTTTGAACCCTGAACATACTAAGTAGTTTGAAAGTGAATGTCCGTAGAAGGTGTCAGGGTTATTAATCTTGGATGTGTCCTAACTCCAGGATTATTGGGAGTGACCTGGGGGTAATTGTGTTTTAAATATGGTCCATAATAATCAAACCAATGATTCATAACCAGAAAACAGAGGTTCTTGACTGACTCGGTACTCAAATGAAAAAATCTGCAAAACGGTTATTTTTAGAATATCTCTCTTGCTGTTTGGAAGGAACTCCCCATACACCTATGAGATGAATACATTTGTTTCAATAACATTTTCACAGGTTTACAGAAATGTGCCCTTTGGCCTCGTTAAATTCTGTGTCATTCAAATCTGACTGGTATAGAACAGTTTTTACAATGATATTTGACGCACTTTTTTGTACAGGTTACACTGAATCAGTCAAATTGTGAAAGAAGAGCGGTACCACAAAAGCTTCATTGTTGCAAATGCTCTCATGCATTTTCCAACATTAGTGACAGACTTCAAAAATCACTGTAAAACATCCCTCCATCTTGGTTCAACCTATGGGTTCAACCAGCCCCTGGCCAATGGGCTGCTGGTTGTGTATTCCTACTGGAAAGACTCCAATGGAACAGAGACCCCATTTGCATTTACACTTATTTTGGTTGTTGCGATCTGTCAGCCATGAAGTGAAGTAGTAATGTGTGGCCTCTTATAGCTAGTTCAAAAAGGTCTGAGATTTATGAGGAGCACTTGAATGCACCATGTGTGCGACAGCGTTTCTAGAGTTCTGACATAAACGTCCCGTTTAAAGCTGTGAAATGTATACATGGATGATTGACATACTCCTGCTTTAAAGCTACATCCTGCTGCCATCATTCCCATCACAGGTGACCTGTCACCTACTACGGTATGTTGATGTAAATGAAAGTCCTTCCATGACGTCTGAGCTTTTATAAGGAGCACTTGAATGCACCATGTGTGCGTTGGCGTTTCTATGGTTACTGTTGTGTGGAGTTGTGACAGGAAAACAGGTAAGTTCACTCCTTTCCTCTCTTTAGCACTGTTAACTCCAGAAATGCAACTCGTATTTTTATTTCTGTTGGTTTGAACTGAGCTTCCTCTGGTTGAATCTAAACGCTACAGGATATCTGCTCAGAGCAGACGGCTGCTGGGTTTTATTCGATCTTAGCTATCGTTATGAAATACGTGACAGACATAACGTGTTCCACAAACACCATCCCTAGTGATCCTTTCTTTTTGAGTTTGAAAGCTTTACTTGGAGGAAATAATACACCTGTCTCTGTCTCTGCTCCACTCAAAAACATTGTTAGCTTGAATTTAGCCCCGTTAACACAATGTTACAATGACATACCCAATCAGTTTGAATGATACTTCATAGGAAGAGCGGAGTGTATCAGAGGAAAACACACATCCATGCAGACATTTGGCAGGTCTAATCACAAAGCTGATCCTGAGTCAGCTCTGCAGGTCATCATCATTTATTTGATGTCTTTAATGCTTTGATAGAACGGAGCCATGGTTAGTGTTAGAATTGCATACATATAAAACGTTGTGCAATGTACACGCAAATGCAAAATACCCTCCCTGTTTGTTTATTTACAATTGCCATACAGGTCTCTTAATTCTAGGTCACTTTTAAAAAGAAAACAAATATCTTGCTCCTTTTTTACCATGGTGTACTTATCTGCTATTTAGCTTTTTACTTATGATGTAATGTAATTCATGCTATTTGAACATTAGATCATATTCACTTTGCATACATAGCATCACATTCATCTTTTAATATGTAGGTCTATTCTCCTCCCTTTATCTGCTGTTGTAATAAGGTACATTTCCCCGTTGCGGGACAAATAAAGGAAGTCTGGTTCTGATAAAGGTTAAAACCTCATATCTCTTGCTTGGCTGCAGAAAAGAAGCTGTATTGCTCATCTTTGTCTTGTCAAACAACTCATCTGAACATTATGAAGTGTGAGATGAATACAAAAACCCTGCCAGTATCCATACACTTGATACAGTGCTGACACAATGTAAGTGCAGACATTCAGGCCCTTTGTGAGCTGTCAGAAAGGGGGCATACTGTAGTATCTGAGACACACTTTCTGTTGAATGTATACATGAATGCTCAACATACCTCCTTTTACAAACTAATGTTCATCTTGTACAATAAAGATATGTTTGTATTTGTTTTTTAGTTGCAGTGTTACCAGCCTGCTGCAACGGTCGTCAATATAGAGGATCCATTCTTCACAAAGCACGCTGTCCACCTACAACAGAACATGGATAAAGACCTGAAAAATGAACCGACATCTCAAGGGTGGAAGACGGAGCAAGAGAAGCTTCCTGCTCCGAGACAGCAGTGGGACTCAGTGGAGTCGGACACTTACCAGCAGCAGATACACCACCTAAACAAAAACACACTGCCTCAAAAGAAAAAGGATGACAGCTTACAGGAGGGTGAAGATGCAAGTGATGATGAAGCTCGAGGTCTTCTAGTTGTTGATAGTCTTGACGTAGCAGCAAAGCACCGTGCCAAAAGCAGCCCTACCCGGACACAGACTGAGTATTTGGACACGCAAACAAATGAAAGAGGAGGAACAAGGTAAGGTTACTCGAGTTCTGTTTGTCTGTTGCATTGATAATGGTATTCAAAGTAAGATCAGAGAATGTACAAACACTCTACATCAGCTAGTTGTGATTAAGAGTGTTGGTTCTGTTCAGAATTTTACTCTTTCTTAATGAAGAAATATTTTCTCTGGAAGGAGCCTCGAAGATGTTTACATGAAAATCGCATGTTTTGTCCTCGTTGGGGGACATGACATGTCGCCGCAAAATGCTGTCCCATTTGTCCTTACACCATCTAAACCCCTTTCCTTTTCTCACTCAAGCATCTGAAAATACCTGAACAGTTCCAAAGACAGGGTGGTGTGTGACCCGGGGTCCCTTACACTCTTGTCTGGACTGGAAAACAAAATCAAAGTGTATTTTTGGGGAAAAGATGTTACAACAGTTTTCTACCCATTTCATTTTTATTTTATTGGTTCCAAATCTAGTACACTAGAGTGTAATTATATATGTAATGTTTAGCGTTTCAACCCTGTTCAAATCGCCATTATTAAGGGAAATAAATAAAGCTTCCAAACTTTTGAAATGACAAATGTGATTGCTATGGAATACCTGGTTGTGGCCTTTCAATGGATTCATTGACGTAAGAGAAATAAAGAATGAACTTCAAGTAACTCTTGAATACATGTGACTATTAGTTTAGCAGTATGTCCAGTAGATGGCATTAATGTATGTATTTGCACAATTGCCTAAAACAATCAAAAAACAACAACCTCAGACTTGATTTATTGGTGAACAAATATATATAAATAAATAACCTTTTGTTGTGTTTTCATCACATATGTGGCCTTCTATCAACGCGCCATTATAAGCTATTTACCATGATGAGGTTTGTTCCTGACCTTGTTCAAATTGCCCATTGAACTGGACCGTCACTTTCACTGTCTGTGACACATTCATTGAAATTAAGCAGATAATAGTGCTGCTGGAATACAGCAAGGAGAATGGAGGCGGCAATCAAACCTTTTACTTTCAAACAGAACATGGATGATAAAAGATAAATAACCCTCATTCTTCACTTAACAATGAAGTGGTGTCAGTTATTTAATGAGATGCAGCCATCAATGGCACATTGTAGTGAGAATGGCCTAATTCAGGTGCTTTCAGAATAACACCTTTCATGTGAGCTAAATTAGATTTTTGTTTTGTTTGGGTGGATCACAATAAGTGGTCACTCGTGGTCCATTAACAGGGATCATTGTGGCTTCTCTCTTTTGAATGAGCAGAGGGAGAACAACACCACATCTGTTTCTGCACTCTTGTTAAACCGTACTGCTGTTTCCACTACTCCCTCCTGCAGACCCAGAATGATAGTCATCTCCCTCTGAAAAGGGGCATTCTGCATTTTCCCATCATTAACCCACGCAGACTGATGTCCACCAAGTGTGGGTTCGCAAGTACATTGTTTCAGGGTAAAATGAGCATGACAAATTCTCACAAAAGGCTCCATTTCATCGAGCATAAGCAGGGGAACAGTCCTATTGGCATCACCGTGTTCTCATAGTCCTCGCTGCTGCCCACTCAAAGCGGTAAGCCTTCTCACACATTGCCATTGCATAGTTTAAACCCAATGGAAATTCCCTTTTGTAGTAAAATATATCCTATTAAAGCAACTCCATTCATCCATCTTAACTATATTCTACACCTATCATTCGAAAAATTGCGAAGGGATGTTTGAGTATAGTTCGTATGGCTAGTTTTTTCATTTTCCTATTCAGTGTTTGTCACAATATTTCAATAGCTTTTGTATTTAGGTGTCAGTATCTTGGGCAAGAAATATCAGGCTGCGGTGTTCCTTCAGTGTGGGAGGCATCGCGTCCAGCTGCATGTCGTCAATAATGCATTCTCCAACTTGTTTGAGTCATTAGAGAGACATCCCTTACCCTTTTGGCCTCATCCATGTGAAGGGCCCTACACCTAGGCAACCCCCCCCCCCGACGCACAACATAACGGCAGGAGAATTAGGCTCCCCTCGTCCTCCCAGTAAGCACAACAAAGAGGCTCTCTGCTATTTATTTTAATGAGATCTTTTCATCACCATCAGAAAGAGCATTTTAGCCTGCAATTTTCAAGCCATTTCATAAGCTGAAAATTGCCGTTTGTGACCCATTCCCCCGCTAGTAGCTCTCAAATACACTGTCATTAGTGAGTCCGGAGGTGAAAACATGAAAATGATCTGTAAATACAGGCACCTAATCCCCCTCATCTGTTTCAATTTCACAAGTCTCTGATAAGGCGTAGCGCTCTTTGTTTGAGGACATCATCATTCTAATAATGGTCTAATGTCTCTTGTTCCTTTGACCTCTAAGTAAAGGCCGATGTGAATGTGGAACACTTCCTTTGGATGTGGAAATGTCATTAATAAAGCTGCGTAACAAGAATTAAATCAATTACTGATAATAGGATGAGACTACCAGACATATATTTAGTTTGATATCTCCTATCTGCCTATTTCATACAGCTCAGCAATAGAGCTGTTACATATGATACACATATAAGTTTTAGGCTTGTTGTATTGCACATGAGATCATTTTTAATATTGTCATTCCCTTAACCCTGCAGCCAGCAGCCCACCCAGGATTCCTATTCTGACCTACGCTATGACCCCAACTGGAGGACCAACCTGAGGGGAGCCGGCTGCTTCGATGACAGTCCACATATTTCTGTTGAGGAATATTATCAAGCTCCTAAAGAGAAATCCAGTCAGTCATGTTGTGACAGACAAGGACTTGTAATGAAAGGAGGATACAGATACATCGTCAACTCATGTCCAGCTGTTGCAGTGACTCCTCATCTGGCTTGTGATGAGTCTGAGCCGTACTGCCTACACCCACAAAACGCTCCCCACCATGAGTTACAACCTCCATCACCTGAGGCGGACCATTCAAAGCCACCCTGTGGCAAAAATACACTGAAAGGATTCAGAAGGAAAAGTGTAAATAGTTGTGACAATGCAGGGGAAAATAGAAGGTCAACTGAGCTCACCAAGGATGCTACGTATATCCAGAGTAAGGCCTACCTCCTGCAGGAACTGAGAAGCACACAAGGAGGAACAACTCAAATACAGCAAACTAGCACTTCCAAATATCCAAAGGTTTCATTGAACAAAAAGCTAGAAAGTCTTGCAGAGGACATCGTGGAACGCAACAAAATGACCCTGGGGCGCAACAGCTCCAAACGTGGCTCCTATGTGAGTGTTCATGCACTTAAGCAGGAGAGGCCTCATAAAGTCAATAAGGTTTGTATAATCCCATCAATAATGTCTGCTAATGGTACAAATTACGGAATGACAGTTAGATCTTTGATATGTGATAAAAAAACAACAACAATACATTTTCCGCTCTGTAATAGGCTGCAGTTCCAGCAGCAGCCACCAGGAGCTGCCCTAGCACTGACCATGGCTCCCGGGCTGCCCAGCTATTGCTACACTAACAGGATTTCAGATTGGCTCTCACTGGGGATAGACTACCGACAAATATTGGAATACACTTTATTTTGAGTGTGTGGGGCTTGTTTGCTGATCAACTATCTATTGGACTTACTGCTTTTCTCCAGCGTAGGTTGTTTGTTTTGGAACTGAAGGAAGCAGATTCTGGTTGTAGTAGGCTAATTATTGAGGTATGCTTTTGGCAAGTGTGTGGTGTTTCATATTTTTAAGACATGCATTGCTTTGTATTAGCAAATTAACCTGATGTGATAGTGATGATTGTGCTTTGGTATTTATGACAATGACTTAATCCATTGAACTCGGCTATACTAACAGTTTTAAACACTTAGGTGATCAGTAGTCAAGTGTCAGTATATTACTCTTTGAATCAATGGGCGATTGCTTCAACGCATCTCTTTTTCCTGGGCTGAATATAGAGCAATATTGTTTTTTCCCTTCTGCATGAACCAATGATATGCTCATTTAGTATTATCATTGCTTTCTATATGCCTTTTATAGTCATCTCAGACAACTAAGAGAATATTGTATGATGTTTGCCCTGACCCAGTCTGGAAAATTAATTTGGCAGAGGAGCATAGCTGTTTTTATCTGCCTTCTTCTTCACCATATGAAAAGAACCATGTCTGGCTATGCAGTGCTTATTATGAGTTGATGTGTACAACATCAGAGACGCATGGTTACCAATAGGCTCTTAGACATCCCTGCACCTGGCACAGTGGCATAATTGGTCGGGATGGCCTGCATTCCCCATTTGTTGGGCCACAAGACTGTTTGCTTCCTATAATACCCCCAACCATCTGAGCCCCAGCCCTTCACAATGTCTCATATCATCACCATTTACATAGTCAAGAGCCGTTAGCTTTGTGCAATGGTAAACAGAGCCAGAGCCTTTCCCTCTCTGGACCCCTTGTGTTTTGTCATTTCCCTCTGAATTTGCTTATTAGTTTTCCATCGCCCTGTGTCCCCTAAGATGTGTCTTACTTAATGGGGGACACAGGGCACAAAAGAAGGGGCATTCATTTACACGTATCTATTTCCTGTTTCAAGATAGGATTCATCATTGTGTTGGGTTTTTCAAAGCAACATTATTTTGCATAAACAAAACTGAAAAGGCTTTAAGAAATGTTAAACCATATTTTAGAAGCAGAATAAAAAAATATAATAATAATGTCAGTAAAAGCTGCAGTTCATTGAAGCATTGAGACGACATACAGGTCCTCACATTAAACATCCAATAGGTCTACAGAGGCACAGTTTCCACTCTGCTCATAGATTAGAGTTTTGAATATATTGGTTTATTTTCACACACACTAAATGAAATATTAAAAATTGAAGTAGACAAATATGATTTTTTCTTCAGTATTGGGAGATAAAATATTAAAGGTCAGAAAAACTTGTAATAACTATGATACACATCTTCTATAACAAAGCGTGTTGTGCTTCCTCCCGCCTTCTCTGTCCAAAGCTCCTCACAAAAGAAAGAAACAGTCGGTACACAAATGGCATCAGTCTTACAAATCAAGCTTTTCACAAATCAGTCCAGAAAAGTCAGTCGTTACGTGGGCCTTTTAAAACTCCCCATTTGGTCTTTTAAAGAGTGCGGCCATCTGACGGCAACTGATAATTAGACGTGTTATTAAATGTACACAATTTCCTAATGCAGCAAATGTTTAGCTGGGCCAAGTGGGAGAGTGGCAGCAGCAATGATTGGCTTCATCGGGGCCCGGGCCTCCTTTGATAAAGACAGAAGTAGCAGATCAATCTTCTGCTATTGCACTCACCCCTTAGAGTCCCTACTCCTCTCGCAGGCCCTCACTTCAAAGCCAGGGCAACATAATGTACAATCTTTTAATAGCTTTAGACCAAAGCTCTGGGGAGCTCTCTGCCACTGTATACCCTGCCTCAGTCTAAACACCTAATCAAGATTACCTGGGCCGGCCACAATAGCAGCTAAATGCAATTCAAGATCTACAGCCCCTTTGAAGTCTTCATTGGGAAAAGCAGATGTTTCCCGGGTACAGGAGGTAATACAGCTTGCTGCAATTGGCAGACTTTGTTGTGACATCGTCTCACAGAGAGGCAATTACGAGCCTCCCAATTTAGTAAAAAAGATATTACACAGCTTACCATGCTCAAAATGCAATACAGGCTTGATCATTTGCTCCAACTGATTGGGATGTTTGTAATGGGTGACAAAAGGCAGGGGGAATAGGTGTGTGTGTGTGTGTGTGCGTGTGTGTGTGTGTGCGTGTGTGCCTGCGTGCGTGCATGTGTGTGTGTGTGTGTGTGTGTGTGTGTGTGTGTGTACACTGCTGGACATACAGAAGTCACTGACACCTGTTTCTGATCTTCCAACACTGCCTATTCTTATTGGTCATCTGTTCAGCATGTATAACAGTATTTCTGTCATTTCTAAAAAACATTCTTCCATTTTATTGGTCAGTTCATGTATGGTTCAGTTAATAACCCAAAGCAAACCAATGTACCTGAAAGCTAGAGAAAAGGACCACACAGCTTCAATGATGAAACAGCATATGGTCCTGGAGGTTTGTCTGACAGTGCCCTGAATCCTTGCCAGTATAACAGTAACATGTCAGCGTATTATACACATTCACAAACACACTTATTGATGGATATGGTACAACTGGATCCACTCACTCTTTGTGACCTTCACCTATTCAAGCTCACAGAATTGGTGGCATTCAGTGAAAAAGTCTTCAGCCTGTCAATACCATTGATCCACTCAGATGGTCCTCTGCCGCTGAGGGGAGCCCTGAAGTTAACTAAATGATTTTCATTACAGCATTAGCAGAACACATTCTCATGGCTCAAATGGGTACATTAGGAACAACTGAAACAGGAAAATCGACGTAATATGATGTGGTGGAATAAGACAGGCACTGATAGTAATGGATGCAGTATTGATACCCCTGAGTAGCTGTTGTTGTGTATGTTTTAATTGGCCTTCCCAAAGGCTTTAGTTTCTAGTGTATATCTTTTATTTCAACATTTTCAGTATCAGTATTTAGCTTTCTCCTTCTGATCCGTCTAAAAGTGCTTAAGGAGTCAGCTAGCAGAGTAAATCAGGTTTAGGAACATCTTGGTCCTCTCCCTTGGTGAACATGTGAGCCCAGTGTAATGTGAACATGTAGTAAAACAATGGCCACGTAGCTGCTGCACAGCTGAGACACCATCACTTATGCTTTTAATTTCCTTTAGGTAATGTGCACACAATCATCGGTGCTGTTTCTGCACTAGGGTTTGCCAGAGATGATTTAAATAAAAAGAAAATAGGAGTCTGAGTAAAAAAGGAGAAGATTGGAGGAGCGTTATTATTTTGAGCACTTGAGCAGCCACCTTGACGCTGCCAAGCAGATGAGAATACATATTTTCCCTCTGGAATGGGCAAAGCTGATGTTTGCTAAATCAGTGGCATTAGATGCATGAGACACTCGCTCACAGGCCTCCTGCTAAATCATTTGGTGGGATCATGTGAAGGACAGCTCCAGCCCTTGTTACACTGGGAGAGAATTCAGCCTCTTATCCAGAGCTCATGTGTGTCTGCTGTTGTTTTGGGTGTGAGTGGTTGGTTCATGCTTTGTGCTCAACTCCATTTCAAAGCAAGAAGAAAACACCTAAGATCTTGAAAAAGCTACACTTTGCATGTTGGCATATCTTACAGAAAGGCAGAGGATTTAAAAAATCTAGATCCACAGCAGCAGTCTTTGAATATGAAAAGGCAGATTTAGTGGAGTGCTGTTGTGTAGTGTTTTGATGCGCGTCGCTTTGCCCTTCACAGCTCAGCACTCACCAAAGTCTGGCTGGGATTTTGCAGCTTTTCTATAGAACCGCTGATCCAAATAACATTACACTCAGCACTGCTCTCTTCCTGGTGCACGGCAAAACACATGCCGTGTGTGTGATCATCAAAACTCAGATAAACACACATATACAAACACGCAGACAACTGTCATTGTGTTATTATATTTACAAGGCAAGGCAATTTTATTTACTTAGCACCTGTCAACACAAGGCAATTCAAAGTGCTTTACGAAATGAAAGACATTAAGAGCATTAAGAAATAGAGCAGCGGAAACACATTTTAAGATAATAAAAAAACACAAAACAAGCTCATATAGAATAAGACAGGTATAAAACACATGAATACAAGTTACAGTGCAGTGTAAGATATGAATAGTTCATTAAAAAGCAGCGGCAAAAATAACAGTTTTTTTGCTTTTGTTCAAACACAGTGTTTTATGAAAGTGTGAAAGTGACTATCTGTTATTTTCTATGTAGAATGGAGGATAAACATGCTATATGCTGGGCCACCCATGCTAACTAAGTCTTTAAATCAGTCTTGTCTATATCAGTACCTTTTTGCTCTGACATTCTACATCAATGAACATTTTTTAATTCTCAAACTGTTAATCCTATTATAACCCCAGTTCACCCAGATCAGTGAAGAAAAGAAAACCCAGCGGGAAGAATACCCCAACCCTCAGCAGCGGCAGCAGCAGCCCCCCCCTGCCCCGGGGGTCACAGCTGAGTGGGGGGACTGTCTGAGCTCAACACTGGCCACACCAGCCTCTGTAACTCAGCCAAATCCTCAGAAGACATCTTCCTCACAGCCTCTGCTGCCCAGCATCCACCTCAACATCCACCTCAACACTTCCCATCTCCATCCTTTTATCCAGCGGGGTGGCCAGGATGACATCATCCATTTGACACCTCCTCACTGGCGCCCCCCATCTGAAGTTGGACTTGCCTTTTTCCCTGGATGTCAACAAACGAATCACCACCGAATCCTGAAGAGTAGTCCTGAACAATGGCAAAGGTGAGCCTTTTATATAAGTATACATCTTTTTTCTGACCAAGATTAGAAAGATATTGCATTTGAAGTATCCTATTGGAGAAATGCTGCACCAAATAATAGCCTTCATATAAAGAAATACAGATAATAATGGACACATTAAAGCAAACACAACAGTGAACTGACATCCCAAATGAAAGCATAATGGTTTATGAAAAAGACTGCAAGCACTGAGGCAAGTACAACAATGAAAAGGAATAAGAATGTGTAATACGTACAATTATATAAAAGGGAAAATACATTTTTGTTTAGTAGTCTATTACAATGGAAACTTCGTTTTTATCCACCAATTACTTTGCGTTCCAGGACAACTGCATTACAGTGGCCCCTATCCTGTGAAGGGGAGCATCACAAGTGTCCAACTGAGGCCCACACTAAGCCGTTTCCACAAAACCTCCCCGGGACCCCCAACACTCTGTCCCCAGTCTCAGGCCTCGCAGTGCTGCCCCCTATAAGAGAGTCGATGACAGGGAGAGAGCCTGAGCCGAGCCCCGAGAACACAGAGTCTCACACTGACGGATACAGGAAGCTCAGGACCAGAGCAACGTACAAGGTGTGTGTGTGTGTGTGTGTGTGTGTGTGTGTGTGTGTGTGTGTGTGTGTGTGTGTGTGTGTGTGTGTGTGTGATCTTCATATGTGCCCTGAAAGGAGGGATAATGACTGTTCAAAGGTTTGATTCCTTGTCTTTTTGTATGCCATCTAATCTGGGATGCCACCTATGAAAAGGATTTGTATAATTGTCTGAAATACATGCATTTTAAAACTGTGTTAAAAAAAGGCTCAAGGTCCACATACTCATAACATACTGAATAATTGCGTTCCAGTTAGAAAAATAAGATCTCATTATGCAGTTAACAAAAGTGACACATGAATTCTTCAGTGGAGTGGTATTCCCCTTTAATCCCACGTACACAAGAGGTTACACAAATAAATGCCTCTTTGAAGTCCCAAATAATCCCATCAGCTGTCTCATGCAGGGACAGCTTAATCCAGCAGGAGTGTTCTGGTGAGTAAGGCACAAAACATCAGGTTAATTGTCTAGTTCCACTAAGCTCCACTTAATTGCTATAAGATGATGACTATATAAACCACAAGGCTGCAGGCTCTGAAAAGCCGTTTAAAGATGTGTTAGAGGATAAGGTGATTAGAAGCAAGAGAGACTGAGGCACAGGGCCACTAAAGATGCCCATTTGCATTTAATGATTTGGCTGTTTGTATTCCCCCTCTCTGGTTTGCCAGGCTGAGATATTTACATATTTAAATACAGGTGACTGTCATTGTCATAAAAACAATTGTCCACGATTAAAACTCACCTCAGCATTGATGCAAACTGACTGAAAACAGAATGTTGATATTTCATAGCTCTTTTTGCTTTCATTTTGTCAGTGTCTTCACACACAAAGCCTGTGTGATCTCTGTGTGTGCAGAGATAGTACCAGGTCTGCACATGGCTGGACATGTTCTCAGTGAATGATACACTTCTTACACAAAATGTCCCCAACAGGGACACACAGAAATGAACACAGACGATTGATTATGTATGATGTATATAGTGTGTCATATTTATTGTTACAATAACTAACAATTGAGTTAAGTAGACCCCAGCAAGGCCGCCGAGTGCTCCGAGTGGTATTCATACTGGAGCCTTCACAGGTTCACCTGTGGTGCCCAACACCACTCATCCCCTGACCTCCCCTCTCTCCCACCATGTTAGCCATCATGTCTGACGAGATTACTGACTCAATTTGCTAAGCAGTCTTGCTGTAGTGCCCCGGCATGAAAGCAGATGAGCGTGACTTAGGGGTTCTAGAAGGGAAGGGGGCTTGGAAAGAAAGAGACCCTGTTGTGTCCATGGCCGACGGAGAGCAAATTGAAATCCCCCCTCTGAAAAGCAGCCAGTAAAATCTGGAATGATTAGCTCTATGTTGTCTGGGACAGCTTGTGGATTGCACACACACACCACACACACACACACCACACACACACACACACACACACACACACACACACACACACCACACACACACACACAACACACACACACACACACACACACACGACACACACACACCACACACACACACACCACCACACACACACGACACACACATCACACACACACACACACACACACACACACACACACACACACACATCACACACACACACACACACACACACACACACACACACACCACACACACACACACACACACACACACACACACACACACACACACATACACACACACACACACACACACACACCACACACACACACACACACACAACACACACACACACACACACACACGCACACACACATCATCATCATCATCATCACCACCAACTGCTGCGAATGAAGGGGAATACAGTTGTTGTCTTTGTGTCTCCCCTATCAACCAAACACTGTTGCACACACACTAATGTGAAGTACTAATATGTTTCTGGTTTATTTGAAATAATAGTTGATTTAGTATCACCAAGACAACCACTATCTTTAAACTCCACTGTAGAGACACACATTTATCCTAATCCACAGAAGAAGACATCAACACATGTTTTTGATTAGCTGATCTTACTGAACTACAATGTGAAAGCAACGATCCATGTGTCATCACTTTAGCGTTCAAATACAATTAAACAATACTCTAAAGAAGCATGTCTCTGTAGGGCTCTACTTGGCTCTGTGGAGCTTTGAGCTAAATGCTAACACCATCATTGCAGAAGTCACAGTGATGGCAGTATATTAAGTCAAGACGGTGTATGACGTTGCTGCGCTGTGTGCATTTTTACATGTGTGTTTTACACTTTTACGGCCAAGAACAGGCGTGAACCAAAGTGTGGCTGGGTGGACTGGGTTTTTTCAGCTTTCTACAGAACTGCTGAATCAAATAACTTAAAGCACCACTCTCCTTTGAGTCCTCAGCTCGAACACCCCACTTTACGTAAGTTGGTCCTATTGGCCAGATAATAGTATGATGAGGAAAAGACCAAGTGACAACGTGGTTATTATACATCGGAGATATTTCACATATGTGCAAACTTTGGTCTGTTGGTGCCGCTAGATGGATTACTCAGAGGTTGTTATAAGTAGTGTCACAAGTCATTAGGATCCTTCTCTATCGGTACTAAATTGTATGACCCCAATCCAATCGTTTTTAAGACATTTCAACTAAATTGTCATCTGCATGGTGGCAGGAGGTCATTATAGTGGGCTTCCTCGTCTGGGGATGTTGAATGTCTGTACCAAATAACATGGCAATCCATTCAATGGTTCAATATTTCAGTCTGGACTGCATCGCCATCTTTGAGCCACGTGACGTCACAAGTGTGGCTGAAAGCATAAACAGTCTCCGGGTATGATGTGTATGGCGTGAAACAATCAGTCTCGATCACTATGTGATCTTCTAAATGCATCATGAGAGACGTCAAAGCTGGTCATAATTGAAGTCAGGATTTTATTTTTGGCCCATTGTGCCGTTTTGACCGCCATCAAAGCAAATGGAGTTCAGTTCAACAAAATTCATCTCCAAATGAAGTATTCAAAAGCTTCACTGTTTGACACAGATTCAAGCGATACTCTCTCTCCCTCTCTCAGGCATACAGTCTTAAAGACTACAAGCAGCTGAAGTCAGATATACATCTGCGAGGCCTGGGCCCTGACTACACAGCAGCTGAACAGACAGTAAGTATTAGCAGGGATTCATTTACATCCTTTTCAAACAT